TCTTGGGCTGACGTAGGGGCCTCCTGAGCTTTCTTGGGTGCCCCAGCCCGCGTAAGCTCTTCGTAAGCCCTGCGGGAGCTCCGATTGAGCTCCTCGTAAGCCGAAGGCACCTCCAAGACGGACGAAGAGAGGCCCATTCTGGCCGCAAGACGGCCCAAGAGGCCGCCAAGATGCCCCAAGAGGCTCTCCAAGAGGGCCAGATGAGGCAACACAAACGCTCAAGAAGGCGTGAGGAGGCTGTACAGAGCGCTCCAAGATGGCCCAAGAGCGCTCCGAAACGCTCCGAGACGGCCCAAGAGCGCCCCAAGACGGTCCAAGGTGGCCCAAGTGCGCTCCAAGACAGTCCAAGAGCGCGCTCCAAAACGTCCAGAAAGGTCCCAGGAGCTCCAAGACGATGCAAGATGGCCCCGAGGCAGCCCAAGGAGCCTGGAAGACGCCCCAAAAGGTCCCCAAGTGGACTCCCAAGAGAGCCTGCGGAGGCTGAATGCGTAGACGTGATGTTGAAGTTTTTTGATATTCCCGCCGATTCGGGCCAAGAACGGCTCGAGACAGCTTTGCGAGTTCCCGGGATTGCGTCAAGACGGCCTTAGAGCCCCCAACAGGGTCTCAAGTTGGACCAAGAAGGCTCCAACACTGCCCAAGAGAGCTCCAATTGACGGCCCAAGGAGGGCAAACGAGGCTCAGCTGGAAGCCCAGAACACGACAAAAAGGTCCACATCGTGACATCCCAGTCAAGAGAGCAGGGATATAGGAGCACACGATCAGATGAAATAAGGGTGAGGGGAATCTTGGCAAGAAGGAGGAATAGGGGATAAGCCAACGATCCATTGCGCTCTCAAAGTGAATGCGATATCCGTCTCCGTACTAGGCAGGTAACGGAAAGAGCGAGGTATGAGTGGTGACGTTCTGCTGGGGCGAAGCCCTCTAGGGATGGGTCCAGGGGAGGGGCCAGGCGCGTGAGACTGGTATCTAATGGCCAGCCCCCCCCCCAGATGGCCCAAGTGGCGCCAAAGACGTCCCAAGAAGTGCCCAAGACGGCCGAAGAGGGGTCAAAGACGGCTCCAAGACGGCCCCACCGCGCCCCAAGAAACCACAGGACCGCCTAAGAGCGTTCCAAGATAGCTTCAGATGGCCTCAAGACGGCCCAGGAAGGCCCCAAGCAGGTCCAAGAGACCACCAAGAGGACCCCCAAGAGGGCCTGAGGAGGCCGAAGACATTGATTTGCCCTGGGATGCTATGTTTTTTATTTTCGCTTTTTTTGATTCTCGCTTTTTCGGGCCAAGATCGGCTCAGAACGGCCCAAGAAGGATCGTCCCAAGATGGCCCCAGGGGCCCCAAGATAGCCCCAAGACGGCCCAAGAGGGCCCGAAGACGGCCCCAAGAGAGCCTCAAGCTGGCCCCAAGAGGCTCCCTGGAGGGCCCGAAGCGGCCCCCAAGAGAGCCCCAAGAAGGCCCAAAATGTTTCCAAACTGGCCCACGAGGGCCCCAAGACTACCCCCAAAACGCACCCAACGAGCCCTGAGGCGACCCACATCATTGGTTTTCATGAGTTGTTTGTGTTTTTCCCAACTAACTTGTCGAGATTCCGACGGCACAGGACGGCGCAAGAGGCCCCCAAGATCTTCCCAAGGTGGCCCGACAGGCCCCCCAGAGAACCCAAAGGCGCCCGAAGAGGGCCCCCACACGGCCCCAGAGGACCCCAAGATGGCCCAAGAGGGCCCCGAAAGGTTCCCAAGAGAGCCCCAAAAGGGCCCCAAGAGGCCCCAAGGAAAGCTCCAAGACGCACCAAGACGGTCCAAAAGGGCCCCAGGACGGCCCAAGAGGGCCCCAGGAGAGCCCGGCCACAACAGGCCCCTGAGGAGGCAAACCGCATGAATGTACCTTAGGTTTTTGCGAGTTTTGTTGGGGTCTTTTTCTATGGTTCTTGATCGTTTTTGGGGCTCTCGCTTTTTCAGGCCAAGAACGGCCAAAACGGCCGACGAGGGCCCAAACGAGCCACAAGACGGTCCAAGAGGGCACCAAAATTATCCTATTAGGAGGAAGGCGAAGCTTTTCGGATAATGGGCGATCTAGAGACGCAGATGCTTCGCACATCAGGGTCAAGATCAGCATTGCCAGTGCCAACTGCGCTGGCAGTGGTCCGCAGGTGGCCTTTCCCGGCTTCGTCGGCGCCTACTGTGCCGCTGGGTCAAGGCTCGGGGGGTCACGTCCCCGCGGGGCCGAGTGCCTGCCGTCCGTTGGCAGGGCGCCGCACAAGGCGCTTTGCGTCGCAGGGCGCCTCACAGGACGACCTGCTGCGCGCAATCCTGCCGTCACGTGGCAGGGCGCCTCACAGGGCGCAGGCCGCGTCGCAGTGCGCGCGATCACCCTCCCGCTCCCCCCTGCACTGCGACGCGTCGTGCGCGTAGATGCGGCGAGGGTTTCTCATTTGGCCGTGCAAGGCCGTTTCTGCCTCAGCTCCCGCTTCCCGAGGCAATGGCCAGCACGGAAGTTACGGGGGGTGATCACCAGGACCCAAAGACGGCCCCAAGAGAGCTTCGGATGGCTTCCAGACTGTCCAAGAGAGCCTCCAAACGGCTCCAGAGGCTTTCCCGAGGGCCCCCGAGAGGGCCAGATGAGGCCAAAAACATTGATTTCCTCATGGTGTTTGCAGGTATTTCGGGTTCTTGTTTTTTTTCGGGTCCGGAAGGGCCCATCGTCCCAAATATTGTCCGCAGGCGACCCCAGAGGCCCCACAAAGAGGCGGGAAACGGTCCAAGAGGGCCCCCAGATGGCCCAAGAGGGCCCCCAAACGGACCAAGGGGGCCCCTAAGACGGCCCAAGGGCCCCAAAACGGTTTTAAGAGAGTCCCAAGAGGCCCGAAGAGGGCCCACAGAGGCCCCCAAAAGATCACCCAGAGGCCCCCACGAGAGCACCAAAACGGCCAAATGCTTGGAACGCGCCCGAAGACGGCCCGAAAGGGCCCCAAGACGTCCCAACATTGCTCCTAAAGAGCTCCACACGGGCCCCCAGAAGACCCTCAGGAGGCCCAAGAGACGCTAATAACACCATGACTACCATCAGCGAGCGGGGACGTAACAAGCTCTTGACACCAAGGGTCCCCAGAGCGCGGTGACGTACAAAGCTCGTCACACCAAGGCTCCCAAGAGCGAAAGTCTCTGAACATCAGGGCTCCCAACGGAGAGCGGCGACGTAACAAGCTCTTCACACCAAGGCTCCCAAGAGCAAAGGGTGCCATGAGCGCTCTCGGGCAAGTTCCTGCAGCGCTCTTTCCGTTTCCGTGCCGGCCCAGGTGAAGCGGCTTCAGGGCCCCAACACGGCCCAAGAGGGCCCCAAAACTGCCCCAGAGGGCCCCAAGACAGCCCCAAGAGAGCTTCTGATGGCTTCCAGACGGTCCAAGGGAGCGTCGAGACGGCTCCAGACGCCCTCCAGAGGGCCATCGAGCCGGCCTCAGGAGGCCAGAAACATTGATTTCCTTAGGGTTTTTGAATGTTTTTCGGGTTCTCGCTTTTTCGGGCCCAGATGGGCTCAACATGGCCCACGAGGCTCCAAAGCTCGTCCCAAGACGGCCTCAGGGGCCCCAAGGGAGCCCCAAGACGGCCCAAGAGGCAAGAGGCTCCCAAGAGGGCCCGAAGGGGCGGTGTGGAGACTGGGCAGCTTGGGTGTGGGAGTTGGGCTGGCCCCAAGACGGCCCAAGAGTTCCAAAACTTTCCAAAATGATCACCAAAAACGCCCCATAAGCCCCAGAGACGCCAGGTAACACCGTGGCTCCCCACAGCGAGCGGTTTCGTAAGAAGCTCTGAACACCAATGCTCCCCAGAGCGCAGTGACGTAAAGAGCTCTGAACAGCAAAGCTCCCAAAAGCGAGCGGCAACGTAAAAGTCTCTGAACACCAGGGCTCCCAACAGAGAGCGGTGACGCAACAAACTCTTCACGCCAAGGCTCCCCAGAGTGAAGGGTGCCATGAGCCCTCTCGGACAAGTTCCTGCAGCGCTGTTTCCGTTCCCGTGCTGGCCCAGGTCCAATTGCCTTCGGCCCATCCCGCCACCGTGCCTGGGTTGTAGGTCTAATGCCTCTTCGATGTTGGGATCTCGTCGAGGCTTCTCGGGGGAGTTTTGGAGCCTCTGGGGGGCTGTTTTGGGGCCTGTTGGGCCCTCTTCAGGGTCTCTCTGGGGTCTCTTCGGGCCTCGTGGGGGCCTCTTGGGGGCCTCTTAGGGGGCCTCGGCGCCTCTTGGGGCAGAAAGCTGGGATTTCCCGTTGGTTTTCCCCCTCTTGGGGCAGTCTTTGGGGCTCTCTTGGGCCGTCTTGGGGGTCACTTGGGCTGTCTTGGGGTTTTCTTGGGCCGTCTTCGGCTGGGGGCCTCTGAGACCGTCTTGGGGCTGTCTTGGGGCCGTCTTGGGGGCCAAGTGGGGCGTCGCCGGAAGCTTGAAAAGTGGAGAACCCCAAGAACATTGAAAATTGAGAGGGGAATCGATGATTATGGCCTCTCGGGGCCCTCTTGGGAAGGCTCTTGGGGCTCTCTTGGGGCGTCTCGAAGGCTTCTTCGGCCGTCTTGGGGCCATCTTGGGCGCCTTGGGAAGCTTTGGGGCCGTCTCGGAGGCCTCTTGGATTCTCCTGGGACCTTCTTAGGGCTGTCTTGGCCCGTCTTTGGGCCTTCCTGGGTGGGGGCACCGTTCCAGGGGCTTGCGCGGAACACCCTGAGAGCGCCCAACCGCGCCCGAGAGCGCCTGGGAAGTTCGCGTAACGGGCCCTTACGGACCTTACAAACTTTTCATCATAATTGCATGACCTTTCAGAACTGCATGAGCCGTGGGGCACCCCTCTACGTGCTGAAGGCACAGTGGCGGATTCTTGGTTTTAGTGTTGATATTTGATTTCGGAGTTCCAACACGTTCATCGTCCGCGTACATGCCTCAGGCAATGATGCTCTGACTCCCCTCCTCATGGCCCCTATCGTCGGCGGTACCTGGTCTCAGCATGACGCACGCGGGCTCCAGCAAGAGCAACGCCGCGGTGACGGCCCGCCTTCTGTACAAGACGCGTCTCTGCATCTACCATGCGATGGGAAACTGTGCCCGGGGGGAGGATCTGCGGTGGTCATCTATGCGCCACGGCCGAGCCCGACCATGGCCATGCTGAGCGCTCGATGTGGTATACACCCTACTTCGCGGATCGGTGCCAGGAAGGCGTATGCACCACGCCAGAGCCCAGGATGGCCCTGGCCAGGCACGGTGGCGGCGGTGCATGGACGACCTCTGCGCAGAGGACTGCTGCTTCGCCCACGGCAGGGCCGACGTGCGCACGGCCCCGGACTTTTCGTACACCCAGCTGTGCAGGAGCCGCCATGAAGCAAGCGGGCCCGGGGAAGCGGGTCATGGAAGTTCACCGCCGCTGTCGGGCTCCAGGGGCCCTCCACGGGCCCCTGGGCCGCCACAAAACACCCGAGGATGAGAAAGCCGGCTCCCCGAAGGCCCCGGGACCCAAGACTCGTGCCCCTTGGGGCCCGCCTGCTGCATCCCGGAGGAGATTCACGACGACCGGGACGTGCCCGCAGGGCGCCGCGTGCCAGTTCGCCCACGCGCGGGGGCAGCTGGTGCGCTGGGCGCGGCACGGCGAGGTCGGCGCGCAGGGTGGCGCGCAGCGGCACGACCCGCCGAGGGCTGCCCAGCGCCGGCGGCAGCAGGAGCCCCAGCCCCGGGTGGCGCGTGCCCTGGAGGGCCGCCAGGCGGGCGACCGACCAGAGAGCGGGGCCGACTGCGCCGACACTGGCGCGTAGGCTGCCCGCGTCAGGCCGCGCGTAGAGGCGCCGAGGAGGAGGAGGAGGAGGAGGAGGAGGAGGAGGAGGAGGAGGAGGAGGAGGAGGAGGAGGAGGAGGAGGAGGAGGAGGAGGGAGGCCCGCGCGACGGCGAGCCACCGCGTCAGGCCGGTCGCCGCGCCACCCCGCGCGGGGCCCGCTTCTGGCCGCCGCTCAGGCGGCCGCCGCCCCGGCCTCGCGCCCGCGCGAGGCGCCAGCGCCCCGCGGGCGGGCGGAGCCTCTGCAGCTCCTGGGGCCACGGCCCTCGGCCCTAGGTGCGCCGGGCGGGCGCCGGGCGGCCGCCGCCCCGGCCTCGCGCCCGCGGGAGGCGCCCTCGCCCCGCGGGCAGCAGGCGCCTGCGCAGCGCCGGGCCGCTGGCGAGAGCGCGTCCCCCCACAGCCCCGCGGCGGAGGAGGAGGAGGGCGCGCTCCAGGCCTGGCGCCGCTGCTCCTCGGCGCCGCCGGCCTTCCGCACGAGCTGGTGAGGGTCCGTTCCGACCCAGTCCGATCGACCCGATTCACCGAGCGCGTTCCACTACTCGCAAAGTCATCTGCGCCCGGCCCGGGTGGCCGTGCGCCGGCCTGCGCTCGGCGCCCGGGTGGCTCCTGCGCGTCCCGTCGGGGCGGGGGCCTGCGAGTGCTGCGTGCCAGCCCGGCGAGCTAACGCTGCCCGGTGCTCACTGTGCTCCTGTGCTCCAGCGCTCCGTCCGAGCTGCTGCTCTCCACCTGGCAGGTCCTGCCAGAGTTTCCGTTGGAGGGCACCGCTTTTCCCGTGCGGCGAGGTCTCTCGACGGGGGGAGGAGAAGCGACACCAATACCACCAGGTGGCCACCTCCAGCGAGGACCGCCGAGCGCATTCCACTTCTCGCAAAGTGCCTGCTCGCAAACGTCTGAAATGTACAGGTCTTCATCGATGTAACATATCGTAAATCCCCCGCGGCGGATCCAGGCAATTTGCGAGTAGTTGATTCATTGGCTTACGCCGCACCGCCGACCCCTTGGGGCGGCAGCAAGAGTGAAAGACAGAATTCGCGGAACGCGCGCGATCGCTGGGCAATCTTGGGGTTTCGGCATGTCCTACGTAGCGTGTGGGGTTCAAGGGGGGGCCTTGTAAGGGATTGTTTTGAAGTTTTTCGTGGTCTTATGTGAGCTTCTTGGGGCCTCCACGGGGCCTGAGTAGTTGATCTGCGAGTGGTGGAACGCGCCTGTCATCAGGATGTCCACGATGCCTCTCCGAGCAGGGGACGGGGGACGTCCCGAGCGCGACGGGGGACCACCACCACCAGGTGGACCCCCTCCCCCCGGCTTCTCCCGCTGGTGGTCCCTGGTGGTGTTGGGTGTCGTTTTCCCCAGCTTCCTGTCTCTACACAGCGTTCATGCCTAATTATTCGAAAGTTCTTTGATTTTCTTGGGGGCCAAGATCCTTTCATTTCTGATTCTTCTATCCTGGGCCTCTTCCTGGCTACTAGGGGGCCAGGAACAATTAAGAAACGAACACAATTAGAAGTGAGCACGATTAGAAATTTACGACGTGTATCGCTGCTCCCAGACGCGAGATCTGCTTGGACACCGGGGTCCCCGTCCTTTCCCAGACGCGAGGTCCGAGAGCCAGTTTGACGCTTTCGTTCGGCAGCACCCGTCTGGCGATCCGCTGCAGAGCAGGACGCCTTGCGTCAGAGGACGTGACGGCAGTGAGCTTTTTTTTTGCACGTAGCCATTGTCAACATTCGATTCCGACTCTCTGGCCACCGCTGCCCCGACAGAAGGGCGCCAGCCAGTTTGACACTTTCGCTGGGCAGCACCCGTCTGGCGATCCGCTGCAGAGCAGGACGACTTGCGTCAGAGGACGTGATGGCAGTGAGTTGTTTTCTTTCTCATGCATCCATTGCCAACATTATATGACCTGCTGGTTATAATCCAAACATTTCCGGGGGGGGCATTTTTTTGTTGCGCTTGCGCGACCGCACAACCGCAAGCGGCTTGCACGCAGGGAGTTGGCCCCGCCACCATCTTCGGGGAGGACGACGACGATGACGATGACGCGATGATGAGGCGAGGACGGGACAGCGAGCAGCACAACAGGCGCACTCGGCGTCCGGTGCCCGCCAGCTGAAGGGCACTAGACGAGCAAAGAGCCTCGTCGAGGGCGAGTCGTCCACCACTCTGCGACGCATCCGTGTCGTTCGCCCCTGCCTACAGGCACGTGGGCGCCACATGTTCGTCCTCGCGCGAGCGGCACAACCAGCCAGGTAATTCCCGAGGGAGGCGACGCGGCCCTCGAGCCAGCCGTTGTGCTGTGCGCACCAGTGCAGCACGGCGAGCGTTGCTCCCGAATGGCGTTTCGCTGGAGGGTTCCAAGGGAGGCGAAATAGGACCACAGAGGAGTCCCACAAGGGGGCCAGGGAGCCCGCGAACGCCTGGCGCCAGCACCTAACAAGTTATTTCCCCTCATGCTTCGTGGGGTTCTGGTTTTCATCCCTACCGCGTCGCACCCGCGTCTCCTCCTCACCCACCTCCCCTCCCTCCTCCTTCCTCCCCTCCCTCCACTTCCTCCTTTCACCCACACGCAACCGATGCACGAGACGTGCATCAGAGACGCGTCTACATGCAGCTGCACGCATGCACACACTCGCCCACACACAACATACACGATACAACGCTAGTGCACGCCTGGCGTTTTCACTGCATCATACACACAAGACTTGTGGGAGCGCTATCCGTTTCGGGCCCTCAGGGCGTGGCATGCGCGGCCCATCCTCGACACCCCAGGGGGTGAGCTGGGGGTGGGAGCGCCATCCGTTTTGTGCTCGCAAAACATGGCAGGCGTGGCACATCGTCGACACCACACGGGGCGAGCTGGGGGTGGGAGCGCTATCCGTTTCGGGCTCGCACAGCGTGGCAGGTGTGGCACTTCCTCGACACCACAAGGGGATGCGCTGCAGGTGGGAGCGCTATCCGTTTCGGGCTCGCAAAGCGTGGCCGGTGTGGCACATCTTCGACACTTCGGAGTGCGCAAAGCGTGGCAGGCGTGGCATTTCCTCGACACCGCAGGGGCTGCGCAGTGGGTGGGAGCGCTATCCGTTTCGGGCTCGCAAAGCGCGGCAGACGTAGCACTTCCTCGGCACCACAGGGGGTGAGCTGTGGGTGGGAGCGCTATCCGTTTCGGGCTCGCAAAGCGCGGCAGTCGTGGCACATCCTCGACACCACAGGGGGTGAGCTGGGGGTAGGAGCGCTATCCGTCCTGGGCTCGCAAAGCGTGGCAGGCGTGGCATTTCATCGACACCACAGGGGCTGCGCTGTGGGTGGGAGCGCTATCCGTGTCGGGCTCGCAATGCGTGGCATGCGTGGCACATCCTCGACACCACACGGGGCGAGCTGGGGATGGGAGCGCTATCCGTTTCGGGCTCGCAAAGCGCGGCAGCCGTGGCACTTCCTCGACACCACAGGGATGCGCTGCATGTGGGAGCGCTATCCGTTTCGGGCACGCAAAGCGCGGCAGTCGTGGCACATTCTCGACACCTTGGGGGGGAAGCTGGGGGTGGGAGCGCCAGCCGTTTCGGGCTCGCAAAGCGCGGCAGGCGTAGCACTTCCTCGGCACCACAGGGGGTGAGCTGGGGGTGGGAACTCTATCCGTTTCGCGCTCGCAAAGCGTGGCAGGTGTGGCACTTCCTCGACACCACAAGGGGATGCGCTGCAGGTGGGAGCGCTATCCGTTCCGGGCTCGCAAAGCGTGGCAGGTGTGGCACATCTTTGACACCACGGAGTGCGCAAAGCGTGGCAGGCCTGGCATTTCCTCGACACCACAGGGGCTGCGCAGTGGGTGGGAGCGCTACCCGTTTCGGGCTCGCAAGGCGCGGCAGTCGTGGCACATTCTCGACACCTTGGGGGGGAAGCTGGGGGTGGGAGCGCCAGCCGTTTCGGGCTCGCAAAGCGCGGCAGGCGTAGCACTTCCTCGGCACCACAGGGGGTGAGCTGGGGGTGGGAACTCTATCCGTTTCGCGCTCGCAAAGCGTGGCAGGCGTGGCACATCTTCGACACCACAGGGGCTGTGCTGTGGGTGGGAGCGCTATCCGTGCCGGGCTCGCAAAGCGGGGCAGGCGTTGTATTTCCTCGACATCACAGGGGGCGCGCTGGGGATGGGAACTCTGTTTCGCGCTCGCACAGCGTGGCAGGCTCGCAAAACGCGGCATGCGTGGCACATCCTCGACACCACAGGGGATGCGCTGGAGGTGGGAGCGCTATCCGTTTCGGGCTCGCAAAGCGTGGCAAGCGTGGCACATCCTCGACACCACAGGGGGTGAGCTGAGGCTTGGGGCGCTACCCGTTTCGGGCTCGCAAAGCGTGGCAGGTGTGGCACTTCCTCGACATCACAGGGGATGCGCTGCATGTGGGAGCGCTATCCGTTCCGGGCTCGCAAAGCGTGGCCGGTGTGGCACATCTTTGACACCACGGAGTGCGCAAAGCGTGGCAGGCCTGGCATTTCCTCGACACCACAGGGGCTGCGCAGTGGGTTGGAGCGCTATCCGCTTCGGGCTCGCAAAGCGCGGCAGTCGTGGCACATCCTCGACACCACAGGGGTTGCGCTGGGGGTGAGCGCTATCCATTTCGTGCTCGCAAAACGGGGCAGGCGAGCCCGCATGTTATCCAGAACTGTAAACACCTTGGCTCAAGCCGTTTCGGCGTGCACGCGCTTCCACGCAGTCTCGCTTGTAATTCCGTTTGAGGGCAGCAGCCGCAGTACTTTCGCGTGGCAGACATGCCGCCCAAAATTGCCATGCACGCCTTGCCACCTCCGTGTTTGGCGATGATGGACGCAATGACTCAGATGGGTGGCGAGGTCAGCTTGGAGAACTCGCGCAGATGTGCCCACGGAGCGGAGTGGTACGCAGGGCGCGTACCGCCGCCAGCTCAACAGTTGGTGGCCTGACGTGTCACAGCAGGCGTGGCATATTCTCGACGCCGTGCGCAGGGCGTGGTCTCTGAGCGCGGCCGCTATCCGAGC